GCAATCAATTATTGGCACTCTTAATGGGTTCTTGCGAACTAAATTTCAAAAATACTTCAAATGCTCCGAAATAACTTAAATGCTCTTCTTTTGATTTCACTTTTATTAATTTAGCCATAAATTTCAATATGCTTTAATTTATTTCTGTGTGTTTATGGAAAAATGCGGAAAGCATAAATGCAGTCTGCACGTCTGCCTTTGCTCCAAGCTGCCTTGTGCACTTTTTTTGCTCAGCGCGCCTCGACTCTTCCTCCGTCAGCGGCATCGAATGCGAAAATATTGAAATGAAGCGCGAAAGTGAATGAATATCTATATATGTTTGTACACTGCCGGCAAAAAGTATTGGCACAGAGAATTTTTTACAATATATGCAACAATTTTTATTTTAATTTTTTCCCGCAATTTTTTTTTTAAATATTGTTTAGCCTACAAGAAAAAACATAAAAATATAACTTCTAGACTTTGTGCAAAACTCGGGAAAATTCAATAATTTTCCAACTTTTTAATCAGCTTTTTTAGAATTTTTTCGAGTATGCAGATTTGTAGCCTAATAGGTAGGACTTACCGCTCAATTTTGAATTTTTTTTTCACGCAGTTTATTCCATACAAAAAGTGTTCGAAAATGCTTTGTATGGAAAAATGCAAAACACCTTCAACAAAAAAAAAAAATCTCAAAAATCAAGCTTGAATTTTTTAAATTAGAATTTAATGGGCTACAAAACTGTATATTCAAGAACATTCCAAAAAGCCTGATTAAAAATTTTAAAATTTCCATGGAAATTTATTGAGTTTCCACGAGTTTTGCCAAAGTTTAGAAATTATAATTTTTTGTTTACTGTTATAACATGAACCATATTTTTAAAGAAATTAACAGAAAAATATTAGAATATAAATTGCTGCATATACATATTTATCGTGGAAAATTCTCTGTGCCAATACATTTTTCCGGCAGTGTATGTATGTACAATAAAGTGCATTTTCAGCAAATCCAGGCAGACAAGATGCGAATTGCAGTGGCGGATGCATGGCAAAGGCTAAATGTGCGAAATTCTGAGATTTGCTATGTTCGTGACTTCTAAGCGCTTTCACATAAACGCCACATGACGATACAGCTGCAGCCAACTGTTTGTGCACATGTATGCACTTAAATTCATATTGTTTACAGTATGCATTCCAGGAAGAGACACCCTGTAGGAAGTTTTAGAAATATTCGTAGCGGCGGTCGATAACCGGCCAGAAGAACTTTGCAACTTTGCAGCGCTGGCTGAGTTGATTATAAGCCCATCTATCTAGAAGCTGTCCACAGGTTAACGCAGCAACTCCTATGCCCTCGCTGCCAGGAGAGAAGACCACAAGGGTTCCCCGACTATCCAGTTCATCAGCCGTGCAGTTTACTGCTATGTTACTGTGTACTGGGTCTCAAATCTGCTTGATTCGGAAATAAAACTGGGCATTCAACGACCTGAGTGGTATCAGAGTCCTGATTTACGCTTGTCTATCAGACGAGAGGTTTACCTTTGTGCGCAGCCAGTCGAATGCCTCCTTTATAGCAGTAATCTCAGCCTGAAAATCGCTGCAGCCTAATCATGAGACTTACAAAGAGTTCTTGACTGAAAATAGTACGTATGCAATCCAACTCTGCGGTCTAATTTCGACACGTCCGTGAAACATTTAATTGGACTTCTATTGAAGAGACTGCCACTCTTCCATTACGCCCTTAGATGGAGCCAGCTATTTAGGTACGCATTGATCCGCTTTTTCAGGTATGCAGCCGATGTTTACAAATATTGCCGAAAGCTAATATAAAACAATGAACTGCGGCAGCCTTAAGCGCTGGGCTAGGAGTGGTACAGAGCACTCCGCTGAGTCCACCAAGGAGTGCGGTCAACACACCGCTTTTAATTTCTTAACTCAAGTAGACTTCGAATGAATTTCACCAGACAATGATTCCATGAAACAATTGGCTTAATGCTTATTTTATATAGCCAATAGGTTATCTTTGGAGGTAGTCTTCATCTATTCCCTATAGCGTTTGTACAACATTATAGAGTCAATTACGTCGTTTCCGCCTTTTCTAAATATTTGGCTTTAGAATCCCGTCCAAGTACTTGACCCGGTTATAAATCGACTGGTGAACAGAAAAATCTCCGTCTTTCTAGGTTTAATTACTAAGTTGAAGCACAGCTCATCAGAACACCTCCTTCCAACCAACAATCCCCAGAAAGTATGGAAGAACTTTTGGGCGCAGGGGGTGTATGTGCATGTCCTCTGGCCACATTGAGCCCAGACTTTTTTATCTCGTCTGCCTCATACTCAAGAAGCAGGTGCAGTGTTGTCGCCTCAGCTGAGCCGCAAAAGCGATAGAGGTCATTTTACCAGATTCCTAACCAGTGCAGATGTCCTCTTAATCAGCAGTGTCCCGTGAGGATACCCGTGACAATCCTCATTTCCATTAGCGCAGATAATTTTGAATGAGGGCCATTAATTCCTGCCTCGATGCCCTCTGGGGTTTTTGAGCCATCTGTGCGCCACTGCATCGTGCTTGACTGTACACAGTGGCGGATTTATCGTACAGGCAACATAGGCTGAAGCCTAGGGCGGCAGAATTAAGGGGCGGCAAAATTTAAGACAGCTAAATTAAAAGAAAAAAATTTATTTGGATTCAGCTGCACTTGAAATTGTGTTTGTATCTGTAAAATATTATTAATGATTCATCTCATTCAATACAATTCAAAATTAGAATTACGCTGCGAATTTTTCCTTAGTATAGCAGTCGTTGAAATTTCCATTTAACTTTCATTCACGCGGCTTAGAAACCTGACGGCGCGCCTGCGCGTGACGCAAAGAAACAGCCGACACGCTGCCCCGAGAACGAGAATCATCTAAAAGGTTACCACACTTGACAACACTGCCGAAAAACGAGCGTGCATTTTCGAGAAAATTCTTGATTCCAAGCCCACCAGTTTTTCATAAGTGTATCATAACGTGAATAATCTAAAGGTCAGCTTCCGTCGTATGTCAAATTAGGCAGTGTATCTGTGTATGGTCTTCTGTTTGTCTTGCGCGAGGTCAAAAAATCTTCCGGATGAGCGATTTTATTTTGTATACTCGCATAGCGCTACTTCAATGTCCTGATAATTGGATTCTACTTGTCCAAACCTCTAAAGCATTTCAGTGCAGAATACATCGTGTTTTACTATATTGTAATAAAGCACTGACAATAACAATCATATTTGATATATATATATATTTTTTTTTTTCGTGAAAAAAGGGCGGCAAGTTATGAATTGCCTAGGGGCGGCAAATATTTAAATCCGCCACTGACTGTACATGTCCGTCCAATATGAAGTGGTTCCAGGTTGCTTTACTGTAGAGCTTTATTTTGAATCTCATCTGTTTTTGGATCAATAATTTTTTGACAAATTGGAACTGACTTCCCAATCTAATCTCATCTTACCAACTATCACAGATGATTATAGCTAAATAAACAATTCATAGGTCAAACATTTCATTATAATTTTCTACAAGGATCACAATAAGTACGCTACGTCACATATTTTATTTCAGTAAATTGCGAACATCTACTACTTTGGTTTACAAATGCCTTCCCTTCTTCTTACATCCACTTGCTGGAGCCAGGCATACATAAAGCCAGCCAGCCATCCAGCCAGCCAAATACCAGCGACGCATGCGAATACTTTTGTCCGCCTGGCGGCGTGTGTGGAACTTTGCGGGAGCAAGAGCAGTGTAGACGCAGACGTCGAACCTTATGAACTTTTCTTCCGCATTTACTGAGCTGCGTCTTCGCTTTTTTTTCTGCCAAGTATTTTGCTTTTGTTTTTCTAATTTGTTTAACCTGCTGTTCAGTGCATGCGCGTCTGCTCGCCTTCTTGCTAAATGCAAAATAAAATCTGTGCTTGTGGCAAACTTGGCTAGACAGTGGTGGCTTGAACTGTGGCGACCGACCCAGCCTCATAAGCCTGTGTAAGCGTATAGGTACTACTCGTACAATACGTAGATAGATAGTGAGTAGCTTGGCGCATGTGACTGATTGAGTGGCTGGCTGGCTGGCTGAATGGTTGGATGCCTGGCGNGTGGCAAACTTGGCTAGACAGTGGTGGCTTGAACTGTGGCGACCGACCCAGCCTCATAAGCCTGTGTAAGCGTATAGGTACTACTCGTACAATACGTAGATAGATAGTGAGTAGCTTGGCGCATGTGACTGATTGAGTGGCTGGCTGGCTGGCTGAATGGTTGGATGCCTGGCGGGTTTGTGCTGCCGCGACGAATTTGCATCTTAAAACTTGGGTTTTAGAATACTGCCGTGCATACGTTATGTGGAAATATTTGTATGTAGATGAGTGTGTATAGTGACAGTGACAGCTTTTTCTCCGCATATGCGCTTGTTTGCGTTTTGTGCTGCCTTTTTCTGGTTTTATTTTATTTATTTTTTCATTTCAAATGTTGTCTCATTAACGACTTGCTTTATTGACTTATTTTTTTTTTTTTAGTATTGCTCGCTTGGTTCCTTTTGCTTTAAATACAATATTATTAAGTATTAATTTTTTTCTCGTTTTATTTGAAATGACTGCTGTTCTGTTTATTCTGGCCTTCTCTCAGTAATTAAATATAGAAATTCGCGCTCATAACATTGACCGTTTCACCGCTGGCTGTTTGCTAATATTGCTGCTATGTATGATTTATTGTATTTCCATTAGAAGACTGCGTATATGGTATGTATGTATGTATATTTATAGAATAAAGATGTGCATATATTTTTTTATGAGCCAATTGACTCGTGCTTTATTTATTTTTATATTTTTTTTTGCTCTAACAATTTTCACTTCTATGCTCGTAGGCCCTTCCGAAAGGGCCCCTTCACTCTGTGGAATTTTTTGCAATTTTAGATATCACTTATTCTAAAGAATTTCACTAAAATATTGATTTTGAGTAATTAAATCAATAAAAATTTCTTGCTATTTAACGTATTTTTCGCTAACATTTTGCCTTTTGAAAATCTGTTTTATTTATTTTTTTTCCCCATTTTCTGACACGCGCACACCTCTTCTACTACACTTACACGTCACAAACAACACTTGTACATGCTAGTACAACCGCTCTCGCATCCGCTTGATCTACCGGGCGCGACGTCAAATTCTATACTGATCGCATACCATACCAAAAAGTCGCTAGACTTCGCCAAGTCAGCAGCAGCAGCAGCAGCGGCCCTAGGTACACCCGTACTATGTACTTCTCTAGATCGCTTGGCGCGCACATAAAAGCTTCATATAGTCACCGCTGCTGCTGCTGCGTTTGGAGTCACTTACGCGCTGCCTCCACTTGCGCTCCATACACGAAGCTCAAACCAAATACATATGTATGTACATATGTATAATTTAAAACGCTGTGGCGACTTAGAGTGCTCCCGCTCGGTGACGCGCTTGCAAATAAGCCCAACAAGTGCCTCGCTGCTGCTACTCCCACCGCTCTCAAGTATTATCTGTGTTGAATTTGCTCGCTCGAAGTTGTCTATTTATCGCGCATTGCATTTTGTGCTTGCATTTATTCATTTTGTTTACATTTATCCACTGTTTGTTTGCGCGCGCCGCCTCAGCCAGCCGCCTGCTCACTAACTGCCTTGCTTTGAAGCAGTGCTTCGACAAAAAGATTTGCGGCTATTTTGGTTTGTACAATGTACGTACATACACTATGTCCACTGCGATATCCGCTCAATTGTCTATTTCCCGCTTTAGGCCTCGAGGGGCCTTTGAGGCGCTTTTGTTTATTCTTCAAACACTTCTCTCTCTATCTCTCTCTCATCACTTGCGGTTCCGCTGTGTTTTTATTTGTTGGCTTTTTGGGTTCCCATTACACAATGGATTGAATAGACTTGTCTGACATTCTTGTAATGCTGTTTTTGTGGCATGAAAAATAAGATAAGAGCGCAACCGGTTGAGTGCGGGTGGGGCTGGGGGCTGTTATTACAACAGGTAAACATACTCGTCTGTACAGTAACTCAAACAAGCGTTCACATGTTGATGTTATTTACATATGTGATTTCAAGTTAAATTTTATTTTTTATTTTTTATAAAAATATTTTTCATGAGTATGCACAATGGGCCGATTATCGCCACTGCTAGCCACCGCTGCTTAAGAAAAATATAGCAAACTATTCTACAGCCAAAGCTATCTTATTTAATAAAAATCGGCGGATAATTTGCGCATTTTGTAATTAATTGTTAAATTTTTACGAAAACGTGTATTCATCTATGAACATGTACGAAACACGGCGTATGATTAACCTTCCTTTCTGGTCCCATCAAGCATAGAGATTTTCTTTAATACATTCTGTATCGACAGGAGAGTGACCTTTGGTATTTAGAATTTATATAGGGTTGCCACCTGTCTAAAAAATTATAAGATCCGCACCGGTCGTTGGATTACGAAAAAATAGTTGTCAAATAAAACGGATTGGCATCTATATGTGTAACCACAAGTGTTTTAGGGCTTCCAGCTGTTAAGAAAATTACTATATTCAATCTTAATAAGCGAAGGTATCAGTTCTGCAACGTCAAAGTCCTTTCACACTTAGCCGCTAGATGTGCAATAATGTATTATTTTTTTGACTATGATTGCCAACTGTTTAAAAATTAGAAGATATTCACCGTTGGTCTGATAACAAAATGACATACCAAATGAAAGGATATAGATAAAGCCTAGTCGATATTTTTTGAACACGCTAATCTCGAAAATTACCAAACGGAGAATTATCTTTAGTACTTGGAAATTCTATAGGGTTGCCCCCTGTCTAAAAAATTATAAAATCAGTTCGTTGAATTACCAAACGTGAGATGTCAAATGAAAGGGCTTGGCTTGTTCAGTAATGTATTATTTTTTGAGTAGGGTTGTAAGATCGTGAAGATCTCGTTCGTTGGACTTGAAAGCATTTTTAAAATCCATTTATCAATTTTAGTCATATGAATTAATTTTTTAAAACAATTTAATATAAAACACACCACTTAAAATTTTTGAATTAAATTCGTATTTTTGTTTCTTTGAATAATATAAGTTAAATAATTAAAATTATAGCCTTACTCAAGTAGCACACTGGTGTATAACTTGGTGAATTTTGGTACAATTATTTAGATTTATACCAAAATTCGAAAATTTACACCAAGTTATACACCAGTGTGCTACTTGAGTAGTTGATAGATAGGCAACCCTACTCAAAAACATGTTAGTGTTAAAGCTTGTTCACACACTTTCAGTTTGATACCCATATTGTGATATAAAATAAGCATAGATTAAAAAAAAAAACGTAATTGCAACTTTTTAGAATGGTGGCAACCCCACTCTAAAATATATATTTTTCTCTTCAAATGAGTTTTGTTTTACTGTAGAAATTGAACTATGCTGTGGAGATTTTGAATAATTATAAATTTTAATACATCTGGCAACCCTGTTTTCTAAATTTTTTTCCAGAAACTTTGTACAGAACGTACCAAGTGGAATGGGAGAAAATAGAATAACTCCGTTGAGTTGTTAATGCGTTTAAGGCTGTTAAAACTTCAAAAAAATCAAAATACTTGCCTTCTCGGATTTTTCATAATTTTTCGACACTTGGTACTTTTCGATATACCACGGATTTTGATACCTTAGATAATGGGCTATACCACACAAATATTTTTTTCTGATTTTTTCACCTTTAAATAGTCGAAAAACAATTTTGGGCCACTTTCACTTTCTTCTAGCCAACTGTGCCATGCTATAACCAAAACCATAATAATACAATTTTTTAACTTCATACAAAATTTAGAAAACATCCGACAAATTTTTATCAAAATTTCGAACTCTTAATACGAATTTTTAAAAAATTTTGGGTATGCAGTTTATAGCCCATAAATGAAAATATGTAATCGTTAATTTATATTAAAAAGTTCTAAATTTTGATGAAAGATTGTCGAATTTTTGTAAAGTTTGCATAACATTTTAAACTTTTTATATGGTTTTGGTCAAAGCATGGACAGAATTTTTATAAAAATTAACTAAAAAAATTTAACTTAAAAAACATTGCGAATATGTATTTAAATAGCATCGCCATGTGAACGCTTCTTTGAGTCACTGTATGTATGAATGTCTAGATCGATTGAGACACTTCAGCGACCAGTGATGCAGCAACACTTTTCAACACTTAGCATGCAACACTTAAGAATCACCTTTTTTTAGTAGGGTTTTTAGTAGGCAATGCCTAAAATAAAAAAGACATGTGAATAATTGAATACACTGTAAAAAATAAAAGAGAATTAACTTGAAAGCTTTGAACTTGAGGACTTTCAATGGGGTTTACTTTTCGGGTAACAAAAACCTACCAGTTTTCGAAGAGGGATCGAGGCCTTCAGTTCTGAAGTTTCGTAGCTGGTACGCATATAGTTAGAAGCACTGTGGTTTTTTCAATCCCCAACCTACTGCTCATTTGTATTAAGATGGCATTTCATATGCACTTCTCAAATATCTACACGCTAAATTTAGGGAAGGCGCGCACAGAGCGCTCAGCACTGAGCTGAGAGACGAGGTATCGCTTATCCGCTTGCCTTTGATTCATCTGTCAGCGTAGCCATAAGCGCTCTGTGTGCACGTCCCGTTAATGAAGTTATCATTAAGTCGTTGGTATCCACAGTTCTTTGTTAATGCTCCAATGCTTGACGCATACTCACTCTAAAGATCTTCTTCCTATTTGGGCTTCACGGCCGTTCGTCGGTTTGCGCCAAGACTCTTTCATTTCCGAAGTTTCGCCAGGGCAAACCGGCTCTTATGCACTTGGTTCTTCCATTGCGTTCGTGGACGCTTTTTCTTTGGGTGTCCACACGTGGGTGGGCCGACTCGAAGGATACTTTCACTAAAAACTGTTGAAGCAATATTTTTTTAAATTTGTTCGCAAATTTTGGCCAGAGAGTAGGTGCGCTTAAGAATAATATTTTTTATAACATATTTCATAAAAAATGCATGTGCCGCAAATTAAACTTTTGAGTTAATGCGGAGATTTTAACCTGTTTGAAATGGTTTTATAGTATATTTAGTAGCTTTTACTATACACCGACCCTGATTATTTATAAATTCATCCATCGGAGAGTACCGTTACTTCGTTAAAGTGTCAAAAACTAAGTGAATTTTGATAACCGTTATTCGAACAAAGTTATATTACCCGTGTGCACAACTGCGCCCGGATATAAAAATATAGATAGAGATAAAGACAAAGGTTAAGACACAGATGAAAATTAAGATAAGGACAAAGATATAGATAAAGAAAAATATAGAGATAAAGATAAGATAAAAGATAAAAACAAAGATAAAGTTACAATAAATTTAAAGACAATGATAAAATAAAGATACAGATACGATGAAAATAAAAACAAGACGAAGATAAAGATATAGATGAAGATAAATATTTAAATAAAAATAGAGATAATGATAAAAATCAATATAAGAATTATCATAAAAATAAACATAAATAAACAGGCAAAGATAAAGGTAAAAATACATATGTAAATAAAAAAAAGATGATTATAAAAATAAGTGCCAGGTAACAAGATCAACGGAAATAAGGTAAATTGACACTATTTCGCATACTGGTCATACTGTCATCGGTGATATTAATGCTGATCTCGTATAGCGCTTGACAGAAGAATGTACTATTAAATTCCAAAATCAGAATTAGCATCAGAGTGATGACCGGTTAGTCCCAGATGCGTTCTAACATCACAAAGTAGTTTTTGTGGAAATTGCAGATAGAGGGTATTGAATATAAACCTTTTCATGTACACAAATATTTCGATATTCTATTTTCTGATTTCCTTTCATCTCAAACAAACCACTGTTTCATATTTTCTTTCTTCTTTTTTGAAAAGTTTTGTAAACAAAATTTTGTGACATTCTTTGAAGTTATATACGAGTACATAAATACATACAAATTCTAAACACCAAGGCCCACCTCTTTGATTTAATAAACAACTCGACATGACTAACATAGCATACAATTACATACATATGTATGCGCATACCTTCATACATAGTACTACAGACCCCACTTTGGCTGCATGAAGCCGCCAACTGTATGATTCATTTACAGTTTTTTTTGTGATTATTTTTGCAAAACTTC